AAAATTTAACTTTTTGTTAGGTGCTTATGGCCTTCGTCTCCCCACCACCAGCTCACGGGTTGACATTCAGCAGTCTGGCTCCTTGGTGGGCATCCTGCACGGTCTGTCTTGGAGAGCTTTGTAGCCCACCTAGGACAGCGCTATTTCCCTGTGCGGAGCCACTCGGTGCTTCCTTCCAACAGAGTGAGATTTGAATTCTCAATCGCCTGGAGAGGAAGACTGCACAATCTCCATCAGCTGGAGTTACCTAGGATCCCTGGACTCCGGTCTTCTGTGCCCATCCTCACCACACTGTGTCCTCTGTCACTCTGCACATGTTTCCACCGCAGATCTACTCTTGGGGTCCCCTTTGCCTTCCTCCCCTGTGTATTTCAAGGCTGCTCTGGGAGAGCCCCCGAGACTCCCACACATCTGGGACTCACGGGAGGATGAACTTCTGTCCCACTGCAGTCAGGCAGGATGTCACCAAGCCTTGGCTTTCAAGCTCAACACTCTCTCTGCCTCTTCCCTTGCCCTGGGGACTAAGAAGTTGTGTCCCCTATGCCACCGTCACAGTCCTTTCTCTCCTCCTCTTTTGCATATGTCATGTTGGGATTTCTCAGCTATAAGAACTTAAATTCACACTCTTCTGTGGAAAAGCACGTCTTTGAGAGATGCAGAGACGTTCTCCTCCTGGCTTTGTTCTGGACAGAGCCGTCTGGGGAAAGCAGCTGTGCGGGATAGGGGAAGGTGTCTTTGGGACCAGCCTGAGATCAGCAGCAGAGGGCGAGGGAGGGAACACCTGCCCCTGTGGAGCCAGCTGGAGCTCCAGGAATCTCAAATGCCCTTGTATGCTGCAGCGGGACATCCCAGTCAACCACGGACTGCGCAGGTGATGGCGGTCCTGTAAGATTATAAATATCGGAGCAAAATGCTGTTTTCTGGTGACACTGTCACCCTCCTAACCTAGGTGGCTCATTCCTCACTTGTTTGAGGTATTGCTGGTGCGAATCTACTGCACTGCCGGGTGTGTGAATGATACCATTCTGCATGGTATCTAACATTTGGTAATGATAATGAACACCTGTGCTACTGGTTTGTGTGTTTACTCTACTATCCATCTTATCATTACTTTAGCATGTACTCGTGTTCACAGAAGCAGTTTACAGTAACACAGAATGCTGCGTCACACCGGAAGCAGCTTCACGTATCTCAGGCTTATCAAGGTCTAAAATTTCATCAAGAAATACAATTGTCTTTTCAGATGCCTGAGAACCTAGAGGAATGCCCAGCACAGGAGCAGCAATCACACATGTTGTTCTTGTATCCGTGTAGGAAAAGGTGAAATTCCTGCTCTCTGCTGGGAGGCCTTCTCAGTGCTGTTTTGAGATCTGAATCTTTCAGTCCTGAAGTTCCTTCTCTCGGTGTATTGTGTACTCTTGGTTTATCAGCACCATCAATTAGTTTATTAGGTATTGATTAACTATAGAGCACACAGTGATTCAAATTCCTATCAATAATAAACGTGATCTATAATTTTCCAATAACCCGACCTAAAAACAAATGAATTGGTACACAAATATAAATGTACGATGCTACTGCTAAAATGGAAATATACCTAAAGGCCACAGAAGTTTGGACATTTCAGATCACTGTTGGAAGGTGAAAAGGAAAGGACATTTGGCCTGTCCGGGTGGGCTGTGGTCAGAAAGGCCCAAGCCTCCAACCCTAATGCCATTTAGAGCAAAATAGGCACTCAAGAACAGGTCAGATTTGGGAATAACGTTCATCATGAATATAACGTGTAGCCCGATCCTGTGCAAAGGTAGCTATGAAAGTGTGAAGGTAACAGGACCCCTCCCTCCAAAGTGAGCACTCAATACTGGGGACATTTTCCTACTTTCATTCCACTTCGACTTCACCCAGGTTGAAAATACTTGTACAGGCCACCTGGCAGTACAAGATTTCAGAGGTACTGGGAGGTGACCATCGGTATCAGACTTGGATATAATTATTTGGAACTTTTATTGCCCATGCTGAGGAAACTGTTAAACAAAAGCATCTGTTTGCTACAGTACTAAAGCTAAAAGGAAACCCATGGCAGAGACGGAGAACAGGTAGCCTGTGAGCTTTAGCTGGTGGAATGGTCCCAGTGGCTGGGATTTGTGATTTTACACCACTGCACTGTTATATTTCTTCCCGATTTTGTTGTCAGAAAAGTAGCAGTGTTTGAACAATATTTCATGGGTTTACTCATCAATAATATTCAACAATATTTCATGGCAAACAACTTAAGTATTTTCACAACTTTTCATTGTTAAATCAGGAGAGTACTACGTAAAAATGACTACTATAAAATTTTAGGCCTTAAAGTTTACTTTGAACCTGTCTTAAATATTATCATTATGATCAGAAGACAGAAAGAGAAAAATCAAGAGACCTTTTCTCTAGCTTTCTACTGAGTTTTTGAAAACCTTTTGCATTTTGAAATAATTGTAGATTCTCAGGAAGTTGTAAAAAAGTCATAGCAGGGTCCTGCATACCCTGGGTTTTCCCAATAGCTGTATCTTGGTCAACTATAGTACACTCAAAAAATCAAGAAATTGATACTGACTCTATGTATGTGTTTAGTTCCTGTAATATTTTTTTCGCATGTGTAGATTCACATAGCCATTGTGGCCATCAAAATATGGAACTATTCAGTCACCTTGAAGATCTCCCTCATGGTGTGCCTGATTCGTTCTCCATCCCTGTAATTTTGCCGTATCAAAAGTGTCATACAGTACGTGCTCTTTGAGACTGTGGTTTTCTTTTTTTATTTTAAAGAGAATAAAGAATAATTGTAACATCTTTTCCACCTTGGCACTGGAATCTGTTGATTGTCTTTTGTCATCTGAGATTTTCCTGGATCCCGGTATGAAGAGTGAGTTGTGATAGAAGCCCGGTCATCGGGTGTCATGTTCGGAGGTGCTGGGTTTGAATCACACCGTTTAGCAGGTCCTTCTGAGGCTGTGCCCACAGGGGAGGGCGGCGCTGCTTTGTGCGGCCAGGAGAGAGCGGAAGTTGGAGCTCTCAGACACTTCATCTCCTTTGACACCGAGGTATGCTCCTCATGGACATCAGGATGGCTGGGGCTTCAGGCTCCTCACCTGGCCACCTCAGATGCCACCTCGCTGGCCAAGACGAGGTGTCTGATTGCTGCTCCTGGTGGTCTTTCTCACACTCAGCAGAGGCGGCCCCAAAATTGCTGACTGTGCAGTTGATGTTCTTGGATGCCGCCCAGAAGAGCGAAGGAGAAGCACCTCACCGCTGCAGTTGCAGAATCTCCAAGAAACCGGAGAGACCAGGAGGGGTTCTCAGGAGGACTCCTTAATGCACCGTCCCAGCCATTAGAAATGCTCAGAGCCAGGCTGGGCCCTGAAGCAAGGAGAGGTCCCTTTTACACGAGCAGGCAGAGATACAGAAGTGAGACAAAGGCTGTCAGTGATCCCAGCAGCTAACCTTATCTTAGCCTTGAAAGAAAACACATCCTGTGCATCTCAGGGTGTTGGGATGCAGTGAAGCTGGTTTATAACCCGTTTGTCAGCTTTGCTGGTGATGGTACCCAGCATTGCCCCTCCAGGGAAGGGGATTCCCATAGAGAACTGCTGGAAGGGTTTCTCATCAGGGAGGAAAGAACGGGACCTTGGCGAGAAAGCGCAAGTGCATATTCCTGAGGGAAGGGTTGCCAGAGGAGTTGCTTGCCCAGAGCTGGGAATATTTTGCAGAGGGAGCCAGGGCCTAAGTTTCTCTCTGCAAGCAGAGTCAAGTTCCCATGTGGTCCGCACTGACCCGGGGGAGGTGGTGGGTCTCAGTGTCTCCTGGTGGGAATGAAAGACCTCCTCAGGCAGCCTTCTGTGACTCCACCCAGTGCAGGAGTCCAGGCCTCGTTACCCGAGCCCGAGCCTGGTAAGGATGGAAATCCAGACTCTCCACTTGGTCTTTCCTTGTGGGGACACCGGCGGCAAAACAAACTTTTTCTGTGGTGTTTGGCTGGGCTGAGTGAATATAATCTAAAGGTTTTCTGTCACAATGGGCAGCCCCTTTTCTACTTGTTAGCCAGAGACCAAGTCTCTTTGGGCTTTGTGTGTGTGTGTGTCTTTGGGATCTTATGTTGGTTTTTCTAGCTCTTATTGTGGGATAGAAGAGGTAAAAGATAATCCATGGGTCACACCACAGTGTCATTCCTGGGGCCTCAAGATTGCCCGCTGGCTTGGCTTCCCTTTCCATTTTTTAGTTTTTCATATTTATTTTACATGTAATTTCCAGAGTTATCACCAATACTTATGAGAAAGCATGAAGAAATGCACATCTATCTCATCTTTCTGGGAATGGAAAATTCCTGCTTTGCTTTTCAAATACATGAAAATAATTATTCTTATAAACTGAACCACCAATAACAGATCCAAGGTGTCTTACGGCCTATTGCACAATCGCTAAACTAGTGCTCACCATACCACTTCACATTTTTACGAGGATTGAAATGTCTGTGTGACAGAAGTAGAAAAAGTTACACGAGGTCACTCGCGCCTAACCCTGACGATGTCTACGTGGAAAGCCGATGGTAAGAATGGAAACTAGAAGTTTCCCAAAATATTCGCAATGGGTGTTTAGAGGATGGAATTATGGGTTTTCCCTCCCTTAACATGCCATTAAAAAAAGACAACCAAAAACTTTTACAATGAAAAAGAATATAATTTAGTACGCTTTATTCCTAAATTTCCTCTGAGAAATGTGTATGCAGCTGTCTGCTACAATACTCAACATTTTGCCCGCATTAATTGATTTGTATTTGAGCGCTTAGAAAACATTTGCAGCCTGGGTTCATGCAAATTTAATGTGCGTTCATGGGTTTAGACCATTCTCCTGACAGCAAAGGGCTGTTACTGTAATGACAGTGAGCCACAAGGCTGGGTTCACCATGCTAAAGGAATGAAGCACATTTTAGCAAGAAACCTTCCAGGGCTCCCAGACTCCCACAGTGAGCTCAAAGGGGAGGAAAGGATAAATATGCCAGGGTTGCAGGAGGAGGATTTTGGGGTATGAGAGGCTCAGGACTTGTGTTTCGGGTTTGGCTGTCCCTGGCTGCAGCTCTGTCTCTTCCGAGGCTGCTGGCTTCGGTTCTTCCACCCACCGGGTGGGGCGTTCAGCTTTCACGCACAGCAGTTTTCCACAGTGCAAAGGACGTAGGCCGAGCTGGACTCACAAGCGTTGCTAGACGTGGATACCACAGGACATGGGTTACTGGTGAGCCTGGGGGCGGGGGGTCAATTTCACACTAAGTTTGAGGAGGCGAGCATGGCAAGTTGTCATCTCAGAAAACTTACGGTTTACCCTACAAATTATGTCCTGTAGAGAACTCTGCAGAATAGCATTGCTCGTAAGCTTATTTCATCTCTGGACTCACAGAGGTACTTTACAGCAGCAGTGGCCTTTGAATAGCATTTTCTATATTTGATTCATTTTGCAGATGTCACCTTAGTCATCTTAGGCACATTCACTGTCACGTGCTTAGTCTCTGCCGCTCTTCTTTCTCCTCCCCCTCTTTTTTTTTAAAGAACCCTCGACCCATTAAGGAGGTGTGACCCTGGCCAGACCTTGGGGGCCTCCTACGTCAGTCTCTCTGGGACTCCGGGAGTTTCCCGAGGAACTCACCTGCTGTCCTCACTGTCCAGGAGGCCCCGGTACGTGTTGATCTCGCACTCCAGCCGGGCCTTGGTGTCCAGCAGCACCTCGTACTCCTGGTTCTGCCGCTCCAGGTCGCAGCGGATCTCGGCCAGCTGCGTCTCCACGTTGTCGATCAGGCGCTGCATCTGTGCCAGCTGGCTGCTGTACTGGGCCTCAGTTTCCACCACAGTGCATTCCAGAGAGTCCGTCTGTGGGCGGAAGGCATCGTCAGGAGGAGCCTGGGGTCTGCCTCTTGGGCCCTCACTCAGCTTCTCTGGCCTCAGTTTTATTCCATGTAAATGAGGAAAGCCAAGGACCCAGTTTATTAGAAGCCTGTGAAGACTAAAGAATTAGTATGGATAGTGGGCTTAGAACTTTGCTTGGAAAAATCTTAAGTGCTGTCAGAATGCCAGCTGTCACTTCCCCCTCTATGACCACCGCTGCCTATGACTTCTTTCTGTGATTTACAAAGGATGGACAGCGTTTGGGAGGAAAACTGGAGGCTGGGCTCCGCCAGGAAGGGGCAGTAAGGGGTGGCTGGAAAGAGAAGGGCTCTGAGGTTGACCCACTTGGAGGCCGCTTCTGCTTCACATCTCGGAACTGCAGGGTCTCCTCAAACCCTCAGCCTGAGCCTCAGCGGTCCTAGTCTGCAGCAGGGTGCATGTGGCAGCTTCCTCAGGAGGCTGTTGTGAGGCGTGGGCTGTGTTGTGGCTCTCACACGAGGAATGCTCAGCTGTTGGCCATCTAGGTGTCCTGGGGCCTCCTCGGGCACGCACTGGTGCCTGGCTAGGAAGGGCGTGCATGATCCCGGCTGCCTGGTGTACTTGGGGCTTGGGTGGGGCGGGGTGGGGTGCAGGGCTGGTGGAGGCATGGGTCCCGGGACACTTTCCCATCCTTGCAGGATAAAAAGCTTGAAAACTATTCTTTGCTTTAGATATGAAGCGGAACCTGGAAAATTGTCCTGTTTAATTCTTAAGAGAATTAAACCCACTGTCACACCAAAGTGCCTTCAGCTCAGAGATCCCGCCGTCACTCTGCCCGCCCCCTTTTCCTGTGTCTGGAGGGTGCAGCAGGCTCATGCTCAGGCCCCGGAGGGAAGGTGGGGCCCCGTGGGACCATGCAGGCTCTGGACTTGTCACTCTTGCCTCCGGCTGGGTGAACAGCAGCTCAGAGGAAAAGGTCAGAATGTTGTCCTTGCAAGTGGGAAATACAGCTCGGCCTGGGGTTCTGGCAGAGGGCGTGGCTGCTCAGGGTCTGGCTTACCCAGGGCAGACTGACCACTCCGTGCTGCACATACCAGGTGCTGCTGCGCCTGCAGCTCGATTTCCAGCGCGTTGGCCGTGCGCTTCAGCTCCAGGATCTCCGTCTGGCAGCCTGTCAGCTCCTCCGCGCTGGACAGCTGCTGCTGGCTCAGCTCTTCCGCCTGCAACCCAGGCGCGTTAGAGAACCCCAAGAGGCCCGAGCCCAAGAGCCCCCCTGGCGTGCTGGGGGCTGACCTGGGCAGCGAACCACTCTTCCGCATCCCTGCGGTTGTCGGCCAGCACCGTTTCGTACTGGCACCGCATCTCCTCCAGCGCCCCGTTGAGGTCCACCGTGGGGGCCGTGTCCAGCTCCACGTTGAGTCGGTCTCCAAGCTGCTCATGAAGCACGCTGACCTCCTGGAGGTGGAGATGGAGAATAGCAGGCCGCAGAGCCAGGGGACAGATATGTCAGTTTGATAACCAGTGGAGTGCCATTTCAGTATTGGGCAGAGTAGGGAAAAGGATGCGGCTTTTTTTGGCACTTGGGAATTGAACTCACGACCTTGCACTTGCCAGGCAGGTACTTGTGCTGCTGAGCTATATCCCTGCCCAAGTATGGGGCTTTTGATTTACATTGCTTGGCCTGAATCTCTTTTGAACACTTGTAGGTGCCTGAGTATCTTCATCTGCAAAATGGGTGTGATAATTATGCCTCCTCTGGGGGTTACTGTGAGATGCAGGAGACTTAATATGCATACCCAGACCTTACAGAAGTCCTGGCAGGTAGCAAAGTGTCAATAACAAATGTTGGAAGAGAAAATATACTTTGTTACACCATTCAGCCTTCATCAACAGGGAAGAAGCACACACTTAATATTTTATAATTCAGAAACATTTACACGTGTGGAATATTTAAAAACATAGATTCAAATACTGCTTGATCCTTTTTCTCCCTTTTCCAGGATGGACTTCACTGTCTGTGTTGATTAGATCAATTTCTGTAGCTTATGGGTTAGACCTAGGAGTGGCATTAACAGCAAGAGGAGCGTGGGGCTCCTTCCCGTGGCACTGGCCGGGGTCGTGCCGCAGACCGTGCCATGTGACGGACGTCACGTCTGTACTCAGCCACACACTGGAGCGAGCCGGTGGCGGGTAAGAGCACCTCAAGGAGCTTTGGTCCAGCGTAAGCAACACCTACCCACATTCAGTTTACACACACTGTTTGTGAACTCTATCAGCTGGCGTTGTCCCCCTTGGCATCCTTAGCCCCTCTGCTTTCCTCACCTCTTGGTGACTTTTCTTGAGGCAAAGGAGATCGTCCTTCAGCGACTCTGCGTGGGCCTCCAGGTTGGACCTGCACAGGTTCAGCTCCCCCAGGATCCCTCGCAGGCCACTGATGTCATTTTCCACCAGCTGCCGCAGGGACAGCTCACTCTCGTACCTTTCGCAGCAAGAGAGATGTATGCAGCACTTACATGGCTAGACACGGTGCAGAGCTTTGCGGGGGCGTGCCGGCTCCAGAGAGGCCGTAATTCCTCTACAAGCACCCCAAACAACATGAGGTTCAAGCTTTTAAAGCACGCTCAGCTTAGAAATGATAGAGAATATCGGGGGTGGGGGAGAGCGGGAACAAGAGTGTGAGGGAGGTCCACGAGTTATTTTTGAATTACACTCCCACCTACTTTGACCTGAAGTCATCGGCGGCCAGTTTGCAGTTGTCGAGTTGCACGGCAAGCCTGGAGTTCTCCGCCTTTGTGCATAAGATCTGAGAAGCAAGTCATTCCATAAGCAGATGCTCCTTAGAAAGAAGCCCACCTGTCTCCTCCGTCAACAAGGATGCCACTCGTTACCTTGTGGAAAGTATTTGTAAGAAAGGATGAAGCTGCTTTCAGCCTGCTTTTCTTATGAACCCATCCCTTCAGGAGGAAAAGAGCCATGCCAGTTTAGAGGCAAAGAATAGGAATAAAGAGGTTTGCTTTCCACACAATCTGAGACGTTCTGCAACACTCCCAGGCATTTGAACACTGTTACAGTTTTCTCCATCCACGATAATAGAAATGTATCAATAAAAGAAGGAAAGGAAGAGTAGGTGAAGTTTAAAAGGCGACATTCAACATCTGTGTAAAGAAGAAGATAAACATGCAGTCTCGTGTACAGCTGGGATGATACAGCATTGTATACAGAAGCAGTTTTAGATACACTAGAGTTTTCCCACCCTATAGATGATCGAGGTAAAGTCTACGCAGAGTGACTATTTCTAGTCACTTGATAATTAGCGGCAGCCCTGGGCTCCTCTGGGGCACATCAGCTCTCAGCATGTGTCTCTGCTTAGGCTTATTTCTATCAAACAGCCTCTGGTAGGAGCTCATAAACCAGGCCAGAGACAGGAAGGTGGAGCAGAGGGGCGCGAACCTTTTGCTGGAGCTCTTCGATGCTGTCAAAGTAACATTGATAATCGGGGCACACGAACAGCGCGTCCGGCTCGCACTGCCCTTGGATCTTGCTCTCCAGCTGCTCGTTGGTCTCCTCCAGGTAGCGCACCTTCTCCAGGTAGCTGGCTAGTCTGTCGTTCAGGAACTGCATTGTCTGCTTCTCGTGGCTGTTGAACGCTCCATCTTCACACCAAGCGCCGTTCTCTACCAGGCAGGGGCTGTCACAGCCGGCAGCCAGGTAGCATGGTGCAAGGCACCCCGGGGACAGGTAAGTCCTAGGGAGAAAGCTCCGTGCCTGACACCCAGACACAGGGCCAGCACTGGGGAGACAAGTGGCTTCCGGGGGACGGGTTGAAGCAGTGTCACAGCCTATGTCTCTGGCACAGGACTCAGAAGAACCACGCACCGGGGAGCCACTAGAAGTCATCGTCTTACAGGGAGGCCAGGCAGGCTGCAAAACTCCAATGGCCTTCGCTCCAAATGCCTCCTTCCCTTCTGACACTTTTATATGGCGCCCAAATGGGTATTTACAGAGGGTGCCTGATGTTTTCTTTCCCACTGTGGGTGCTGTTTTCATGCAAACATTTCATTAGTGCTGTTTATTTACTGAGGAAGAGTTTTATGCCTCATAAAAGGATAAGCTTAGGTTACTAAATCAGGACTTGTGCCATGTCCATGGGCTGGTGGGATAAAATGCTTATTTTGGAAAAACATCACAGGGAGCAGTGTCCTTTGGGTGAAATAAGGAACAAAAGACAAAATTTGGTCAATCAGTAATTAAAGATGCAACCCATTCCAAATAAGGAAAATAGCAACCCACAGATTTTGATTCTGTGGATTGATTATTTGTGTGCACTTTTAAAAACAATATGACAACTCATTAAATAACATTAATTTGTTTGTGTCACCCCCATTAAAATGGTCATTCTGATTAGCAGCCTTGCAAGGCTTGTTGTATTCTTAAAGCAGGTGTGTACATGGTAGAGGCACAAGGTGTGCTCTGGGTTAAAGTGCTTGTGTGCGTGTGTGTGTCTGTGTATGTGTGTGTGTGTGTGTGTGTGTGTATATGAACCATGTCTCCCTGTATACACAGTGAAAAGTCATTTTACATAACTAATGTGTTATAACCTGATAAGTTTGCGCTATGACCAAAATATAAGTCAGTTATCAAGCCCTGGAATGGAGGTCTTTGATTTTATGAGACTTGTGCTCACATTTCTTACATCTTATTTTTAGATGAGTTATACTATTTTTTTTTTAACCTGTATTTCCCTTCCTCTGCCTCTCCTTTCATCCCATGCCAGGGATCAAACCTGGGGCATTGTGTATGCAAAGCGCACTCTACCACAGAGTTATACCCTAGCCCTCACCTGTAATTTCTTTTTTTAAATCTGCAATTGCTAATAAGAGTTAAATGTAAATTTTGAGTTATAATCCTCTGGTTCCTTGGGAAACTCTCCTTGATTATGCTTCTCAGTAGCAGCAAGGAAGCATAGAAGTCTTATCTTCTGAGACATGGAGTTTTATTTGCTTACAAAGTTCTCCATTTTATGATGATTAAAAGTACTGGAACTTGGGAAATGAACTTCTGTAATGTGGGTTCCAAACCAGCAATGTGATCGGATAGGCTTGCTGGTACAGTATCAGATGGGTAGGGACTTGGCATGGAACTTTTACTCTTTCTTGAATTTTACTTCCACTATGAAATACAACGACTTAGACTTGGTTTGGCTTTAACTGTGGTATGTATCTCATTTTCAAAAGTATACAGAGGAAGTTGTCTGTAGAGTGTCACAAGCAATATCCCCATTAATTTGACCAAGTTAAAAATTCCATGGTCCAAAATAAACTTAAAATTTTCCCTCACTCTGAGCCCTACTTCCTAGGTGGCTGTGCGTGGAACCAGAAGACCACGTATAGGTAGATTAATTGAGTCTCTTGGAAGTGATTACTCACTGGCAGAGCTGGGTTTGGATTTAGTGACTCTCCTTACATTTCCATACTTGTGCTAAAAGTTCTCAGAGGCCTGGCTGTCTGTGTTGATGCTTTTACGCAAAGAGAAAGAGTTTGGGATTCAAAACCACATTTGAAAATTACAAACCTCTGAAAGGAATTACAATCTTCACAATAAACCTAATGAGTCAAAAGAAAAATATATTTGAAGAGAATCTGTATCTTGGTTTTCCCATTATAGACTCCAGTTAATTAAAATGTGTTACTATGTAATGTATTATCACTTTAAAGTATCCAGGGATAAAAACGAGAAACAGTTTCTATTTTCTTGAACTGATTTCTAAGTGGGGAACATCGACACATCGACTGCTGGTTAGGACGTGTACACACAGGATAGGACTCTGTATTTTGGTCTTGATTGATCAGGAGGGATGAGTGCTGATTGATCATTCTCAGATCACGGAAGATGGGAGGATTCATGTCTACAGCGCACCGTCCTCCGCAGAAGGGAGCACTAGGCACAGAGGAAAATAGATGACGCCATGAGCGATCGTGGTAAATGGCAGGGCTGTTCCCCTGTGGAGTAGCCTCTTATCTCAGGACTTCTAAAATATAAGTCTCTTTCTGGTCACCCTCCAAAGATGAATCCCAGACTTTTTACCTCGACAAACAGGACGTTCTTCAAAGTGGGGCTGATTTTCCTTTGAAGGCTCCTGTTCTGATTTCTGTCTCACAGACCCAAGCTCCAGCCACTCTTCAAACTTGCTGGGTGCAATTCCCTCTGTCACTCCCTGCCTGGGGACGACGACTTGGAGGACAAACAACACAAATGTCTCTCAGCTGCCTTAGGCGGACACAGGGCTCTTCTCAGAGACCCTTCACAGGGACCTAGTTCTGTAGCAGCTGTCACATTGCCTTTGAACTCGATGTATTTTTATGTACATTGATATATTTTATTGGTCTTATTTTTGCACCTATCTTATTTAAGACATGTATCTTATTTGTCTTATCCTCTGCACATGGGGTACATGTACAACAGGTCCTTCAAAATGTGTGCTAAAAAAACATCCACTGAGGCTGATAGGGACTTCTCTTTTGATACACAATTATTTACAAAACATATTAACACTAAAGGAGATGAAAAATTTGTGGAAGACAGAGCACTGCCCTACTGACCAAAATATCTACATTTTGTGCCAATACTGTTAGTGCTTATCAGCTATATTTTCTTTAGCTAGTTGTGCAGCCCCTTTGAGGAAAACAGTAGCTGTGTTTTCTACTGTATACGCCTGCCAATTAATCAACAATACAGATGTATTTCACTTAAATAGTAAGACTCACTGGCAACATAAAATCTTGTGGATCCATCTTGGTCCCCAATGACTGACTCTACAATTATCAAATGAATATCCTTTTCTTTCTCTAACATCTTTTTCATGGGGATAATATTTACATAAGTTGAAGTGCAGTTCCATAATCATCACCACATCAAGATCCCCCAACTCTCCGTAATTCTAGAATGTTCTCTTGCTCCTCTTCCTAGTTAGTACTCAGCTTCCAAAGAGAAATAGCGTACCGACTCCTACTGCCACAGACTGGCATTCTCGATTTTTGAATTTTAGGAATAAAATCACACGACGGGCATGTTTTTGTGTTTGATTTCCTCCACTCAGGACCATGTTAATTCATCGATGTTGCTGAGGACTATTCCATTGAACACTCGAGTTGTATGGACATTTGGATTATTTCTTATTTGAGGCTGTTATGAGCAAAACTTCTGTGACATTCCTGCATATATATATATATGTAATTTCTCTTGGTTTAATACCCAGGCATAGAATTGTTGAGTACTGAATAAGCATATATTTTAGGAAGCATGGAATTTCCAATGATGAGTCATTGACTAGGCATATATTTCACAAGAAACTACCAGGCTTTTTTTTTCCTGTACTGGGAATCTAACTCACGACCTTGTGCTTGCCAGGTAGGCGCTGTGCAGCTGAGCTAAATCCCCCGCCCAGAGAAACTACCAGGCTTTTTGCCCAGTCTGCTATAAATTTACATTTCCCTAATAACTAGTTATGTGCAGTCCTTTCCAAGTCTTCATGGGCCTTTTGGGTTTGTTCTTTATAAATCAACTATTCAGTCTTCTGCCTGTAATTTTAGCTGAGAACTTTGTTTTTTGTTTTTGATTTTTTTCCGGTACCGGGAATCGAACTCATGACGTCGCGCTTGCCAGGCAAGCGCTGTGCCACTGAGCTAAATCCCCAGGCCTTCTGCCTGTAATTTTATACTTTGCGTACAAGTCCTTTGTCAGGTATACGTATTTTGAACATTTTTTTCCCCTGTGAGTTGTTTGCCTTTTTATTTTCTTAGTCATGCTTTTGGTGGACGAAGCCTTTAACGTTTCTGTTTGTAGTTTCTCACAGGGTGCTTTGTGTCTCCTCTAAGAGATATTTGCATGTCACATGATGACTGTTCAGTTTATGGCTTGCTTTCTTAGCTCCTCTGTGAGCTTTATCATTTTAACTTTTACATTTAGGCTTTTGGGACGCTTTAATTTTTGTGGATGATGTCTAGAATCAAAGTAGAATGGCATCAACTTCCATTCAACTGATCCAGCACAACTTATTGAAAAGATTATGTCCTCGCTGGTTGGAGTGACATCTTCAGCAAAAGTCTGTGGATTGAGCCTACTCAGGTTCCGGTCATTGTTTTCCTCAATTTTTTTTTTTTTTTTTTTTTTTTTGTCTCTTTAGGCTTTAATTTGGGTCGTTTTGATTCACGGATCTTGTTCCTAATTGACAGTGCCCAATTTTCTACTCTTCTCACCTTTGAATTCTTTTTTTTTTTGGTTTTTCTCCGGTATCAGGAACCGAACTCACGACCTTGCGCTTGCCAGGCAGGTGCTTTTGCCGCTGAGCTAAATCCGCAGCTCCTCACCTTTGAATTCTTTATTTTGCATATTGTACACTTTGCTTCTAGAATTTTCATTTATTTTTCTCATTTAACTTAAGTAACTCAAATTTAATTTATTAAATTAAATTTAATTACCCTTTTGTGATGAGATCCCTTATCTTTGTTTTTATTTTAAAGAGAACAAAATAACAACAATGAAGACAAAAATAAAACAATACAAAAACAAAAATGACACAGGATTTCAAAACAAGATGCTAGGAGCTAACAGTGGCTGTCATAGTACATGTTGTTGTCTTCAGTGAAGTTGCTCAGATCGCCAGATGCAAGAATGCAAGATTGACACAATAACAAGTAATAAAAAAAATTGGCAACAAAACAGAGCTTCATTAAACAAGATGGTAGGAATTCACCAAGGCTTGTTATATTGCATAGTTTTGTCCTTTTTTCTTTTACATCTATACATCTTGTCCTTTAAATCTCTGAAACTGTTTTTAAGAATCGTTTTGACATCTATGAATCCCTGGAAGTATTTTTATTGCCTGTTTTTCCGCTTGA